CACTTCCAATGCGTGGTTCCTCTGTAATTCAATTTGATTGGGATTTTGGGTGATTTGTGCTGTGCATCTCTGGGGAAATAAATGCTTTGATTAATGTAATCCTGAGCAGAGAGGTACCACAAACCGCACTCCTCAGGGAACGGTGCTGTTTGACAAACAAAAACACGCAGGGCACCACTTCAGTCCACGCACAATGGATACATTTTAAATGGCAGAGGGCACATCGCAGTGCTTGTGTGCAACTTTTTCATCAGATTAATATGTTGATGCATAATTAAGATGGAATATCAGATAATCCCATATAATCAAGTGTTTCATGAAAATGGACAGCAGGAGTTTGATTATTGCAGTGGCCTGCAGCAGTAATCAGTGCAGTGTCTGTTATAGGATGTCCAAGAGATATTGTTAGTCCACATGGGACAGTTAAGAGGGATCTGTAAGTTGCACACACACACACACACAGAGAGAGAGAGAGAGAGAGAGAGAGACATACACATCGAAGACTAGCATCCATATCAAGGAACAGACAGCTACGTGTCGCATCACACATCTTGAGATAAAATTTGAGGCTGGGGTCCTGACTGAGTTGGGGATATCATCAGAAATATTATGTTTTTTAAGTCTTTGTTTTCTATTTTACTGATTTTAGTCTATTTATTACACATTTGTATTTGTGTGTATACACATAACATATATTTATACTATAGCTTATTAGATGTTGCATCCACATATCATTTAAAGCACATTATGACATTTGCATTGATTTCCAATGGGAGGGAGCACAATCAATAAGGGGCTGGCTGGAATGTTTACGAATAATGAAGCTCGGATAATCTTCGTGTAAGACATAGAGCTCTGAACCATTTCTCGCCAGTCATGAGCTGCGCGCCTCCTGAGCCGGTGCTACGGGAAATGATGCACAAGGGAGCAGTGGAATAAACAAGGCGGAACGGCGTGACGCACTCTGTGGGCTTCCATGTATAGAACAAGGATATAAAATAATGTCAGTTACAAATGATGAAATAACATCGTCCAGTCGATTACTCTTCTTCTCTGACCGACTATCACTGAAGACTTGCTCCTGTGTAGTTTTTATGCCAATTTTGGGAAAGAAGAGAATTTTAGAAATGCAATACTGCATTTTTGTTTTTATTTCGATTATTATCTTTGTTCCAAATAACTATAAATTGTTTACAAATTATTTCGCATTCCAGTCTGTATATCAGACAACTGAAAGCTCAAGACTGGCTATGTTGCAGGATAACAGATATTGACATAAGATCAATTCCTTTTTTTTTTTCGATGAAGAAAGTAATAATTTTATGATAGCAGTTAAACAAATAAAATAAATGAAAAGGTTTCAAAATAAAATAGCCCATAAAACATATCATTATAAAATAATAATTATAATTAGTGTTTTGTATTATTACTATAATTTTATTTTATAATAACATCATACACATAAACCATCCAACTATGACATTTTATATTACGGAATTAAGAGAAAATAAGAGACCTCGCATCCTCTTTTTTGGGACAACGCCAGAGCTCTGGCCTACAATTTCACGCTGTCAAACACGATCTTAGCGCTTTAAATGTTTGTTTATCAAATTAATGACAATTCAGCAGAATGTTTCTGTTACGTTCTTCAAAACCAACAGATATTTCATTTAATTATAATGAAAGCAATATTTTTTTTTTCTTTGGAATATTTTTTAATACTCACAAACCTCTTAAATGATAGGCTATTCAATTAAAATTGTATTCAGTGTGTTTTTTTTTTTCGTCATGTTAAAATTCCGGAATTGTTCAAATAGTTATCAAACATGCGCGCACTTTTTATAATGCTTTTTATATTAATTTATTTATTCTGTTTTATTTTTGTTGAATACATTTTTCCTTGGTTAATGATATTGTGCCACTAATGTGTCACACACTTAGACACGTTTTTTTTTTAATGTATTTATGTATTTATTTTTTTATGTTATTTCAGCATTTTTACATAACAACATGTCTGCCAAAAATAATTAACTGACTGTTCAAAAATGTTTTATTTATAAACTTCCCAAACCTTAACGAAACCTTTTAATAAACTAAAAACTGCAACTTAGGTCTATGTTATCAATCAAAGACAGAATTACAAAGGCTTAGGCTACACATTAAGGTGAAAATCCTTTTGAAAACTACATTGAATCATAAAAAAAAAAGAAGAAGAAAAACATGAAACTAATAGCAGGGTCTACATTGCTTCTTTGAGCATTAACAATAATTTGAATTAATGTCTTATGAATAAATTAATTGTGCGGAGCTGGGTTTTCGCATTATGATTTCAACAGGTATCAGTTTACGATATCAGTACCCTATGCTTCTCCTAAAAAAAAATAAGAATAAATCAATAATCAAGGACAATACCCAATTACTCACCATTAGCGCTTTTACCATACTGACTAAGCGCGACACCTGCTGGTGACAAAATACTCCCCCATACGTCACTGTCAAGCGTGTAAGTGTGGCATCTAATCTTTATGATTGTGCTGATTCCAGTTATTTTATGTATATATCTTTTGTAGACGCTTGTATATACGAATTTGAGATGTGTGTTTGGCGCAATGGTAGATGTTCTTGGCTTGACTGGCTCTTTCATCTCGACTCCAGTGCACAAACATATAGCTTAATGCGACCAGTGTTCCTTCTTTTATTCCACTCACCATAGCAACCGAGAGGAAGGGTTCAGAAATGCTTTGCCCATGAATGAAACAAACGGTCTTAGTGGGGCTGCGAGAGAGATAGCATCTTCGACCGGGAGGGCACATAAAGTTAACCCAAGAAATATCGAAGGAAGGTTTTCGTTATGTTTGCATATAGGCTATATTACATTTAAAAATATGATCCTAACATTTTTTACAATTTAAATCGAATTCAATCTAAATTTAGTTTTGTAACTGTCTGTATATTTTGGTCACCCCTAATTTAAACTGCTCCTATTTCTGGCTCGTTTATTTTAATCATATCTTGCTCAGGCACTTGCATATTTTCTTTGCTACCGGTAATGATCTGCTAGACTAGTTTCTGCTCAGTTGCTCCTCATGTGCGGTGTTGTCTCTCACAGTCGTTCGGTAACAACTAAGATCCTTGCCGTCATTCACACACCGTCTCGCGTTATACATCGCGCGCTCCAAAATAAGTCAGTGCTGCGGACCAAGTTGCATCAAACTTTGGCACAGAAGTAAAAGATCGATTTATGTAAACGACCTGATATCCACTTGTACCCGACTCCACCGAGAATTCCACCGAGGGTCTCCTGTTTGAATTTGATTGATTGCACATTCTCCACTGGACATTCACTACAAAACAGCAGCTTGACCGTCTGCTCGCGAAATTGCTTTGACTCCTCAGAGTGAGTGAATCCCTTTCCTCATACTGGCTATCACGTTTCTTATGGCCGCACGAGACGTTCTTTGAAAGCGAGCAGTATGAAATGCATAGCAGTAATTTAGACCAAAATCTGCTGGAAATTAATGAATAGACAGCCCCGTGGCGGTGGCCCTACTTTGCCATTCAATGTAAACAAATCCACGAGGTTCTCTCGGTTTTTTGAGTCTGATCCAAATGAAATCTTCTGGGAAGGGGAGTGTGGAGTCCTCTCTTGGGTTTTCTACAAAACCTGATTCAGTGTTGTTATACATCAATACTGCATGGAATCTAAAATAAGCTATTCTGTCAGAATAGCTTTTTAGAATGATTATTGGTGTAAAATGGAGCATTGGTTAACATGTTTTTGTTATGATACCTAGGTTATTATTCTAGCAGTATAGTTCATAAACAAGGAGATCCCTTGACACCAAGTGTCACACCTCTCTTGTATACTGAAGCTGGGGTGACCTTATGTCAATCACTCCAAATTTTCTTTGGACTTTTTTATTTATACCACTGGGTGAATCCAAATGTTGTAGGGGTCTGATGGTAACGTCTAAACAATTCCGCGTCAAATTTGAAAAGGAGAGTCGTGTTTGCCCTATCGTCAGTCGATCTTGGTAGTTAAATTAAAAGACGTTTCTTGCAAATCCCCAAAGGACTGCTCAGTTTGCATCCGTTTTGGTTGCCACTTTCTCCCCATGCCTTTCTTGCGTTGAGTTGCCTTGCACTCTGTGTTTCCGCTTGGAAGCATCGCACAGTCATCTCGTTAACTCTTGAGAGGCCGACGTTTCAGAAAAAAATGTATTAATTAATCGATAGTAGCGATGGTTATTGCGTCGATATATTTATATTATCTTGCTTAGTTGAGTTTAAAAATGGCAACAGACTAGTTGAGAGAGAAACTGTTTTAGACCTAATTTTGTCAATAAGAGTGAAATGATTGTAAACATAAATGCAGCCAGTGCGATTTCAGTGCTTTTCAAACGACCTAGCTATTTCCAAATTTCCATTAGAACAAGATATGTTGTATTTGTTAGACTTCACTGTTCATTACTCTTATCTAAGGCTTGAAAATAGAACTATAGGCTATGTGTTGTTATTTTATTATGGCCCTGCGAAATAGCCGACTAACGGTAACACTGTCTTGTCAATGATTCACCAAAATAATTCACTAAAACTATGGGAAATTGTACATAAATGGGGATTTATTAATACATTTCCACATTCTTTAGAGTTTTCAGTCATTTGTCTTGATTTATGTATTTAAATTCAAAAGCAACCAATTGGAATAGCCGGAAGGGGGGCCTAAGTGCCTGAAGCGAGTTCTCTAGACCTGTCAATCTTGCCCGTGCTATCCAATCAACGAGAGCCGTACACCCGACTTCCTTTATTTGGGGAAAAGACGTGGACGATGTACGCAGCACAGGGTAAACACTCGTGTGTCCTCGAGCTCTGAGGGAGGGACGGAGCTAACTGTCAGAGAGAGAGAGAGAAAGAGAGGGAGGGAGAGTGAGCGAGGGAGAGGAGAGAGAACAAGCGAATGAGAAAGAAGGCATGCAACACTGCTTTGCACTGTAATACTGGATTGTACTTCAACTGGAGCGGTTTGGCAGGTTTAAACACATCAAAACAGAACAAAGAGACAGACTTTACAGCACCATAAAAGAATCTGCAAAAGAAAAGAAATAAAGGGACGGCGCAAGTGAAATCGCTGCGGCTAAATAACAAAAGAATTGAGGAAGAACCACGTTTAATATTTTTCCACTCGGTAACGGAACATACGTTTGGACTTATTAATTTTAAGGGCATATTACAACTTCTTCAAGCGCCAGAAGTTTCTTGCGGGACAAAGTTTTGAAACAATTTTTAATCTTTCATTTTTTCATTTTTTATTTGTTTTCAGACTATTTAAAAAGAAAATATAGATCGAAGGACTGTTTGACTTCCGAGGGGTTTTCAACGCTGACATAAAAGTGGAATTTATCGTTTCAATCAGTCATATGTTCCAAATATATGAATGCACAAATTATTCAAGAAACAGATTTCGTCCTCTCGCCTACAATATCTTTCTCTTTGCTTTTTTGTTGATGGTGTTTGCCAAAACACAAGTCAGACTTTTAAAATTTGAATAATTCATGAGAAATAATTTGCCTGCATTAAAAAAGTTTCTGCAAAAGGGAGGGGGTGATCTGCAAACATATTCATAAGGTTAGCGGAATGGCCACAGCGGCTTCCAACCCTTATCTACCCAGCAGTAGTATATTATCGTCCGGCTCGATCGTGCACTCGGACTCCGGAGGTGGGATGCAGCAGATCAGTGCTGCGGTAACCTCAGTGTCCGGTGGGTACAGAGGAGACCCAGCGGTTAAAATGGTACAAAGCGATTTCATGCAGAGCGCAATGGCAGCGAGCAACGGGGGACATATGCTGAGCCACGCTCACCAGTGGGTGACGTCCTTGCCTCACGCTGCAGCGGCGGCAGCCGCTGCCGCAGTGGCCGCAGCTGAAGCAGGATCGCATTGGTCGTCTAGTCCCGTTGGAATGACAGGCAGTCCGCAACAGCAGCAGGACGTGAAAAATAACTCGGGGAGAGACGATTTGCACTCTGGGACTGCGCTGCATCACAGACCCCCACACTTAGGTCCCCACCAGACTCACGCGGGTTCCTGGTGTAGCACAACCGCTGCCCACATCCCTTCTTTAACTGGGAGCCAACAGCAGCAGCAGTCCCTCATATACTCACAGCCTGGAGGCTTCACGGTGAACGGCATGCTCAGTCCGCCGGGCAGCCAGAGCCTAGTACACCTTGGAGAGTCACTTCTTGAAATGTCCCAAGCCTTCGGCCCAAGAGATAACCTCTCTAGCGGAAAACTTGCAGCTGGAGAAGGAGGTGGTGAGAGTTTGGTTTTGCAATCGGAGACAGAAAGAGAAAAGGATGACGCCCCCAGGAGTGCCGCAGACGCCGGAGGATGTATATTCTCAGGTCGGCAATGTGAGTGCAGATACACCGCCCCCCTCCATGGACTGCAAACGAATGTTCAGTGAGACATAGAACAGCATACAAGACTAAAAATATTTTATATATATCTGATAAAACACAGACTATCATCAAGATAGCAAAACATTTTGATACTGTGATTGTGAGGGAATATTGAGACTGCAGATGTGTTATATATTTTTTTCTCAAGAACAAATCACCCCTCTTCCTTCCCAACCCTAAACCGCCCGCTAATCTTCTTCCAGGCCCTTAAATGTCTTAACCTAAAAGGTTGTGTCTGCTCTTTCTTTCAGGGACATTTTTTAGTAGATTACTTAAAAGATGCAAGTTTAACTGGGCCGAGCGAACCGGGCGACCAGAGGGTGACAACTACAAGTTCGTTCCACCAGGTAATATTGGCGCATTAACTTCAACTGAAAAAATAACAGAAATTAGCAATGAGCAACAAAATCTTTTACCCCCATACCCTGTTACACCAATGTCTTGTTTGAGAGACAAAAGACGCAGGCAATTGTGTATGTTGTTATGGGACATTAAACCTGAAACAAAGGGATGAAATTCAGCTGAAACAATGCGAAGAACAGTGGCATCCACGAAGCTTCCATCCAACTTGGCAGAGAAGACTGCATGGTTTGATATTATCCAAAAATATGGAATGGATTTTTTTTCCTGGCCTTCCAATCCTCACAAAAAACAACAAAAGACTGCCCTCAGTTTCTGATCTCCAAGATCACATCTTTTGAAATTGTTTTTTTTGTTTGTTTTTTTTATGTAAAGAACTGAATCTTACCTGGATTTTTGAGGACAACTTTAAATCAAAGATGACTTTTGAAAAGACTGAATATTCCGCAGCTGCACCTCATTGAAAATCTTCAGTGCGAACATCCGTTGCCAAGTGGGCCAGAGCTGGTGCTGTGGATGTTTTCATGTGCTGCCATTTCCAAGCAGTATTCTTTGGTAGGTTTTAATAAACAAGACTATGTAAAGCCGGCAATATAGATTCATTAGATCAGATGCTGATCGGAATTATTTACTTGATATTTTTCATTAAAATGCTTTGTTTTAATATTTTATTCGGGATACATACGAACTATTCCAAACAGTTATTATTTATTTCCCCCAGACTTGTGTAAAACGTTTTCCCCTGTTTTCGTTGTTGACCTTATTTGTTTTGTTTAATTTTGTATTCTCATTTTTAAAAGAGCACAAATCTACACGAACTGACTTTGACAGTAGGTAATAAGGGTATATTTTGATGTGATGATTTGACTGTAATTTAATTTCAGTAGTGATTCCGTAAGAGATGATCGAGAACAATAAATTTGTTAGAATGAAACAAAATTGTGTGTCGTGCCTAAGATCGTAGCTGTTTCACATTTTTATAGGATGCAATATTTGAGCAATATTTAGCCAAATTCATTTTAACATGATAGCTGCTGAATATTAATAGCCTTATGTTATGACATGCAGAATAGGAAATAACACTCGAAAACCAAACCTTTCTAATATTATGCCAGCAATATAGATATGTTTGATTATAATTCAACCGTCATATAAATATTTCACACAATGCATTTTTATAAAATAAATAAATAAATAAATAAAATAGATCAGTGTAACGTGGCAATCGTGTAGGCCTCGACAGAAAGCATTAACGGGAGTTTTGCATTTCTACAACTTTTAGAATTTCTATTAAGCTAACATTCTCCTCTTAGACAAACCAGCAAAAGTGTCACCTTAATGTAAGTGTCACCTTAGTGTAAATTACTTCAGTGTACAACCATTTTGTTAGCAGGATGAAATGTGTCTCTGTGACCAGTAATAGAGATAGCAACGTTCAGTAAATCTCACGAGAGAAAGCACAGAAAAGTTGATCGCTTGTGGAGGTGGAGTGTTTACTGTGTCACGCGCTTTTGTGTAGTGTAGGCTACCTGTTTTATAGCGTTCATGCCAACTGTCAAATCCATATGCCTTCTATCAATCCAATCACCATGTTTTTTGGATTTAATTTTATTCAGAATTACACAGGTCTGCTTTTTGCAAACGCCTTCTATCTATCTATCTATCTATCTATCTAAATATAATCTAAATATTGCTAAACAATCACTTTTTAAATAATGCACAGTCCCCGTACATAACCCTGAAAACTAAAGCACGTGTTTACGGACATTTTGCATATGCATGCCTTTTTATTGCATTTTTTCGAGGTGTTTAGGAATAGCAAAATATTATAACGTTTAGTTAATTTTTTTCTCAACAATTGAATTTCTCAATTTCTCTCTGAATTTCGCGCCTGCTTCATGCATCGTGTGATAACCTAAATATGGTATTGCTTTTATTATTTATTATGTTATTTTATATTTATCGAGTCTCGCAAACATCGTATGCCAATTTTCTGTGTTGCTTGTAAAAATAAATCAGATTACTTAATTTCACAACGGATTGACAATGCCCCCAATACTAACAAACAGGCCTGTATATAATATAATTTATGCTGTAAACTTTAATCGGTAAAAACATGTCATAAAATGATTTTATGTTATATCCCTAACATTATTAATGTAAGCCAAATATTGAGGATGAAATTATTCTGAGCTAGGCCTCATAAATAAAACGGACGAAGTGGTTTTGTACACGGGCAAAAACGAGAGTGTGGTCGCTTCAACTTTTTCTTAAGATGACTATTCAGCAAAACGCGCAATTCCTTCTCTCCAAGATTTAAATTTCGCGGATGAATTCCCATACACTAGTTGCTTAGCAACTAAATTCAATCAATGTTATAGAAGTATGCATCCCTTCTCTTTGTCCCTAATAATAAGAGTGCCAGTCTGACATTCAGACTGATTTTGTGCGACCCGAGTTAATGCTGTCTTTGAGAAGTACGCTAAATTAATTCATAATTAAAATGTAGACATTTTGAGCGGAAAAATCAGCTAATGTGTATGATTGCTGCATGAAGATTTAAATTTCGCGTTGTTTGCCAGTATTATTTATTAAATACATTTTAGGTTTCGAGGAAAATGTCTGGGGAAAAAAATATTCTGGGTTCTGTCTTCAACATCATTTTTGATGTCCAATGACCCTATAGTTTTCTTTCGGATATTAGCATGGCTTAAATACAGAAAATAGTATTTTAATTTTCTAATTTACTCAAATTTAGCTTTCTGTAGTTTGCAGGGAGGCCTGGAATATGTTAAGCATGCTCATGACAAACTGCACTAAACTCCATAGTACTGTCACATGACTTTCGACCCACGTGCTCAGATGTATTCAGTGCTGATAAAATATAGCAAAGAACTAGGCCTATATGATTACCTATATGAAGAAAAATTACCAGGTTATTTTATTTTTCTTTCTTTCTTTCTTTCTTTCTTTCTTTTGTTTTATTTATTTATTTACTTAGGCTACTTATTTATTTATTTTTGTAACTCAGGGTCCGGACCGTTGTATCGCAAAAATTATTTGGTAAACTTTACGGATTATAAAAGCAGCTCAAATTAGTATAAGCCTTTTAGTTTTGTAAGTATGAGGGTCTTTCATAAATAATCGAGCAGTTTTCGTGCACGTGCAGTCACATTTACACTTTTTCTACCCCCACGTTTTAGCCTAAATAACATTTGTTTTATTTCATTTATGCTTTCTTGCCAAACCTTCCTATTAAAGAAACTACAATTGTGTCACTGTCAACCGAATGTTAACACTGAACCCGAAGTCCAAGTAACTCTAGTATATGTGTATATTTGTAGCAGTAATAGGCTATATAACGTTACACCGGTACTTTTGGAAAGACGCTTCAACTTGACCAGTGACTGAAAAATCAGAATACAGCTGTACGGTAGTGGCCTACCTCGACTACTACATGCTAATGTGTCACACTCCATAAACTTTTCCAGAACTCACATTGAAAACATCAGTTTAGAAAATGTGTAATTTTAAAATAATAATGATATAAATATATAAATGAATTATAAATATATTTGATAATAATAATAATAATAATAATAATAGAGTGAATGCCATCTCGCTGGGAATCCAGCTACTATCGTAAAATAATTTTTGATATAGGCCTACTTTAGTTTCTAAATACTATTCGTAAATGTACGCTAATTTGGGGTCATAATTACTTGTCAATAGATCTTTAACGAGTCATTTTAAACAGGATATCAGACTGGTAGGCACCCACTAAGTTATATATGTGCTATAAAATCAATTTGCAATGTGTAAACAGAATTCCACTTTGAACATCTCATATCATATCAGAATAACCAACTAGATATTTTGTACAGAATGAACAACGTGGTCTTTTAACTGAACAAACGAACACAAACACTTGTTTTGATCAGTGTCAAAAAAGGTAGGCTAATGTTAATGTAATCGATGAGGTTTCCACACTTGATTGTTTACAATCTTTTTTGTAGACGAACAGAAACAGGCCAGACTGTTCGCATGTTTTTTTTTTGTTTTTTTACTTGGATGTTTCTTTTTGTCTCTTAACCCCTCGTGCTGTGCACATGCATAATGCTCTTACATGAGACATTTCTCAGTGGGGAGATGTCCTCCAGACCGCCTTTGTTAATCCATGTTCTATTGTCATTATGTTGGTAATAAGCGGTAATGGCTGTAACTTTCAAATATCTGTATTGCTCTAATCCAAAATCACTACATTTTGGTACTCTTGGCAGAATCCTTGGTTTTTATATTCGTCATTTGTCACAGTTTATTTAAAAATAAGGTTGTCAAATTATAAAATTATTATTTCCCTGTGAAATGTTTACTCCTTGTATAGACTTATTACTATTACT